TGGCGGTGGCCTTGCCAAATTGCAGGTCTCGCTCGGTGCGCCCAGGTGTTGGAGGCACTCCTTCAGTATCCAGTGTACTACCTGATCGTGCCTGGCGTTGTACGACTGTCTACTGCAGGCGCTAACGACGTGGTACGCGGATTCAATGCTATTACATCCTTTCCGGCATTGATTGTTCCCCTCATCGTGGCTACGGAGTTTTTCCGTGTTCAGCCTTGTGTCGCATAATGCTGGGAACTCAATTCTTTCCTGGAACTCCATAACTTTCTGAGGGTACTTAGCCAGCTTCGCCTAGTCGCTTTGCCTCCTCTCTTGGTCTTTATCTTTTATTGTTCTAATTGCTTCGATCTTGTCTAGCGTTCTGTCGATGTTGTATTTCTTGCACACATACTCATAGTCCCCGATTGGAGTGCGGCATCCCGTTTTGTGGAGTTTCTCGAAGTTAGTTCTGGCCTCGCTTAGTTCGGGATTTTCCATCAAATATGCGTACCTTCGGACGAAATGGATTTCGGTTTCGACTTCGATGGTGTTGAAGCCTAAACCTCCAGACTTTGTTGATAGATACATCCGTTGGTTTGATGTTGGCCTCGTCTTGATGTTGTTTGTATATTCTCCTTTTTTGTGTTGTCGTTAGCTTGGAGCCGAGGAGATCGCTGGTTTTAGCGGCCAGTTTTTCTTCGAGGCGGTCGTAGTTGGGGATGTCTAGATCAGTCTGTTCTATGCCCAGGTATTCGTACGCCTTCCTCAGTTGCGGTACAAATTGGTCGAACATCGCGCTCCAAGATATGATAGTGATGTGGTGGATGAGGTATGCAGTGAAGAAAACTCTTGCTGACTTTAACCGTTTATTTACCGTGTTACTTGCACAAGAGCTCAAGAGCGAATGAATTTTGTAAATCAAGTAAATGCAGATCATGGGGACATTCCTGTTAACGTTGCAAGAATGATGCAGCTGCTGTCTGGAGTGAACTGGGAGAACAAAGCATATAATTGCAGCTGTTCCCTGGCAGGTGTTTTGCCAAATGCAAATGATAACAATTCGCCGCGTTATCAATACGTTTGTCGGACGTGGCCCAAACACAAGGGAATTCGGAAAAAGAGTGATTTTGAAAATGACTCCTTAAAAAACAAAGGGTATTAATAGTTTCATCTGCTAAACGGCATCTAATGTCCGAAGCAATTATATGCAAACTGCAAAAATCGCCCCCTTGTTCCTCCACATACAAACAAATCCATTTCTTTTTTAATACGTGCAAAAAAGACTTTTAGAAGCTCGCAGAGTTTCTTCTAATTCCTCTTGAAGCGATTTATTAGTTTGTGCAGCACGTAAATTCAAATCTTCTGCAATCATTGAAAGAGGAAAGTCATCTTCGATTAGTACTGCCGTATTAATATCTTCTTGGTTTGGTTCTTTACGATATAATCGTGTGATTATATATTTTATTTCTTTTCTTATAAGATACTTGCTTGGTAATTGAAAAATTTCGTTGCCTCTCCTTTGCTCCAAGTCCTCTTGATAATTATTCGGATTTTTCAAATATATCAGCACTGCAGTTGCTTTTGTGCGACGCTCGGAGATACGATTATTCATTGAAGAGACCAACTTTTCTGAGAGAGGAGTTTTTAGGTCTTCTAGCTTTCGAACCATGAAAAGCAATGTATGTTCTGCACTTACTAAATCTGTACCTCGACGGCACAATACCTCAACAGCCAATTTCACTGGCTGAAATGTATTTTCCAAATCGATAAGGACAGCGTGTTCTTCTTCCGTGAAAAAGTAGTCTGAATTGGAACTTAGCAAGAGGTCAACTAGGGTCTTAGCTACACACTGCTTTACTTTATTGTACGTACTTATCATGTTGCATAGGCTAGACCAACGTGTCTTGTAGTCAAGAACCAGCTGAATTGTTTTGCCAAACTCTTGCTGAATATAACTCTGAAGCATATCATTTTTGGTAGGAGAATTCCTAAAAAGTTTGACACATTTTCTAAGTTTCGATATAATCATTTGGTATTCTGTATCCAGATCAACTTGGCTTAGAGGTAAGGAAAAGTATAAACCATCATAATTATTCGTATTATCGTCCAGGACTTCTTCCTCCTCGCCGCTGCGATTTGTGTTCAATTCAGTGTCTTCAAATTCTTCCTCTGGCTCCTCTGCATTGGATTCTACATTCTTTTTATAAATTACGTCTGTTATACCTAATTGCACACCGTGGGCGTAGCAAAGCTGTTGTAGTGGTTCAATCAGGCGTCCGACTTTCTTCATGACGCTGGCTCTATCCGTCTTTATACCGACTATGTCGTTATCCAGGGATAAATTAAATTCTGATAGTTTTTTTTCCTTCAGAAGTTCATCACAAGACTCAGATGACATACTTCCGAAAACGCGTGCCAGTCCAATATTCCAGTAAGTAGGCTGACTGTTAATAACTGTGTACCTTAACATTTAAAAAGCGCCGATTCATTCCAGATGTCCATTCATCTAAAGTGACTGTAAACCTGTAGTCTTCATTCCTCAATTTTAGTAGATCTTCCGTCACTTTCATTTTGAGCGTCATTCCATAATTCATCACCATTTTTTTAATTGCGTTTGGCGAAGAAGGTAATTTGTAACCTTTTGCGACAAAAAGACTTCATGTCCTCTGAAGTACAGAACACTCTGAACGGCAAACCATCTTTGGCTTCCATTCGGGAAATCATCATCTCTTTTGTTACGTTAGTATCGGATGGAAAATAATCACTGATTTTCTTTTTTTTCTGTGGTGTTTCGTGATTTTCATGACTGACAACGACGCTCTAGTAGACCCTGACGAAGTCGAAGGTAGTGATACATTATCCGGCTCAAGTGTACTTGTTGTTCTTCCGGCTGTCGCATTCAATTTAGTGTCAATTTTATGGATTGACATCATAACATTGATGTAAAACAATATCACGGGATTTCAAGCTTTTCTAACTTTAACAATTCAACTTCATCAATAGTTGCAATAGGTGCATTGAAACGTCTTGTATGTTGGCCCACAGGAGTTTTATCTGCTCTGATTGCAGTTCTGTGATTATCAGATGGTATCAGATCCAGTGCCGGTTTAAACAATATCTACAATAGACCTCATCTACTGAATTGATATGTGAACAACGTAGATCAATGTCTTTTGGTGAGTTGGCCATGCAATAAATTTTACCTTTTCCTGGTTTCAGCAAATATATGTTTGAACGCCCAGATAGAGCCGTCAAAAGAATAAGAAGATCTACATCTTCGCCGACAACTATTAAGGAATCGAAGGTCGATGAAACGCTTATTGCGGTTAATTATTAATGTATCCGCATCTTCCGTGGCTTGTAAGATCATAAAGTTTGCAGCTTCAAATTTCAGGCGTTTCTTGTTTACATTATTAGTCAGGAATTTATTTTGTGGCACAGTTGGGATCATTGTCTCGTCAAAAAGTATTTCTACTGAAGCAGTTTTTCTTGATTGTCGGAATCGCTTCGCATATTTGGTACTACGATTTGTTACATCTTCCGGATATCGGTCAAATACGACAATGGCATTTGATGTAAAAACAAAACTAACCTAACCTAATTGGTATCCACCGTCGATCGTGTCTCCAAAATGTATGTCTTCAGAATATTTTTTAAATGCCTTATACATAGAAGATTTAACGCATTTGTGCATACCTTCGTCATTGCAAAGGGATAACGGAAACGACACAAGTTCGTACGTAAGAAACTTTTCAAGTTCTGTTTCAGATGTTTTTGCAATGTACATTCTACATCCTGGTAGAAAAATATTAAAATGTCATAATGATTTACGCATTATAATTGGGTTTTTGAAATTTTTTTTTTCTTTCTTTTAAATGGAAGAATAACTATGTAAGTTCTGAAAACAAATTTTATTTTATTTTTCGCAATAATTAAAAAGTTATATCAAAATAAAAATTAATTTTTGAATCCAGTACCGAAGACGCGCCGACAACTCCCGAACAAATCTGAGCGCGTGTGACGTCATAATGTTCGTTTTCACTCATAGTAGTATACAGGAACAGAGGTAATAAACTGCAATTAACGAGCTTTTATTAATTTCATTCTGTAATTGTAAAATACTCAAAATATATAAAAAATGTCAAATCTCACAAGTTATCGTTCTTGTTTTGTACCATTATGTACAAAATTTATTCTTTCTGAAATTAATTCTATGCATAAACGCATCATATTCACCCTCGAAATTGAAATCAACAAATCAATTGACTTCCTCGACCTTTGTATAAAATGTATTTAGAAAATTGCTATGAATTTAATTTACAGTGCAAGTGTGTAGTTATCAAAAAATGTAATGGAGAGAGATTGCGGTATCTGTGTTATCTGGTCCCGGTGTATAGGTAAATAGAGGCTGCAAGTAGATGCGTTTGGCAGGTGTCGTCTCACTAATATAATACTTTTTTGTGAATTGGATATATTGCTCCTATACCCCATTCTTCCGGTACATGTTCCATATCCCATATCTGATTTATTAACTCGTGTATTTCTTTGACCACTCGATTTCCTCCATACTTATAATGCGCATGCGTTCAATATCTCGCGCGCTTGATTTACTTTTGAAATGTATAAATCATAACCTCTGCATTATAGTTTAGTAGCTTGTTAATTACATAATATTAATATTTTAATTCTCTTTCTAGATTTCATGCTTATAGTACTGTTTGCTTATTTGGATTTGAGAAAGAAATGATTATTAACCCGTCAGCACTCTTGTGAACTTTCGGGTAATCTTTAGTCTCGTGATGAGAGATTTGCTCACGCTCAATGCGCATGCGTTCAATATCTCGCGCGCTTGATTTACTTTTGAAATGTATAAATCATAACCTCTGCGTTATAGTTTAGTAGCTTGTTAATTACATAATATTAATATTTTAAAATTAATATAATGTAAGAAATAAATAATTTTGATTATCTGAAAATATACAATTATCAAAAAGTTAAATAATTAAAATTATTCTTAATAATTTTTCGAATTATTTATTGTAATTAAGTTAATGGTAGTTAAAATTTATACATTTTAAATCAACATTAAATTTCCATAGATTCCATGGATTTTATCGAACTTATATTAGTTAAACTCTAATGACTATTATTTATTATTTCTTAGATTGTAATTACAATCAATCAAATGGATAAATACAAAAATGGTAAATAATAACAATAGTAATAAATTTCATTTAGTAAAATTAGTTAATAGAATCAGTTAATTTCTGTTGACAGTCCATGCAGAAAAATGCAGTATGCTCATTACATATGAATGATGAACAGTTACAACAATGTTTTTTAGTTTTGCGATTCTTTCGCCGTGGACAAAACGCACAAAATCCATTACTTGCCCCATTGTCTTCAGCATTCCATTCAGCAACAGTATCAGATTTTAATTTCGTAATTTTTAAAATCGTGTGACGAAGCTCTATAGTTAATCTTGGCTCTTTTAGCCGATCAAGGAGATGGGGTTGAATTAAATCTAATGCCAGCTTTTTTAAAAATTCGCGACGAGTCATACTGACATTATTGTTTTTATCAGCTGCTTTGTTACTTTTATAAATTATTTGCGCATTTATACCAGATATGTTCAAAAACGAATAGAAAATAACCATTGGCCAACGTGCAGTCTCCCGAGCCGTTGAATAGTTGCCTTTTAGTTCATCAACAGTATCAACTCCTCCTTTTGTTGAATTATAGAAAGTAATTATTTCTGGCTTTTTTTAGAACCAGATTCAGGATCTATATCTTTTGAGTGATGCATAGTAGATAAGAGGAGAACATTTTTTTTTTTGGGACATGTGATACTAATGTACATTTCTCTGAGAACACAAACTCGCTGCTAGGAACTTCCCTTTTTTAGTTATCAGGAGCTGTGGAGGAATCTCTCTTTTATTTTTACGAATAGTTCCTACCATTGTGGTTCGATGGTTGATTAATAAATCTCGAACAAGATGCACAGAGGTAAAATAATTGTCCATGGTTAAATTACGTCCTGTATTGAGAATTAATTCACTTCACCTTTTCACAACGTCATAGGCACTATTTGATTACTGAAAGGGTCCTGCTGGTTGTTTACCAGCATAAATTTCCATTTTAAATGTGTAAAATGTCTTTGCATCGACTATCGCATATATTTTAATTCCATATTTTGCAGGCTTGTTGGCTATGTATTGCCGAAATTTACAGCGGCCCCGAAAACTTTCTCACATTTCATCAATAGTCAGGAATTCACTTGGTATGTATAGTTTTTGACACCTGTCAATAAAATCGTCGCTGAATTTTCTAATTGGTGCTAAATTGTCAAGTTTTTTCCGTTCTTCTCGAGTATTTATGTCATCGAATCTCAGAGCCGATAGCAAAAGATAAAATCTTTTCATACTCATTATAGCACGAAATATATCAGGTGCTGTACCATCAGTACACCATAACTCTTAAATTCAAGTGTGATCCATGTTTCAAACCAATTAAAAATAAAACTCCAATCAAAGCGTGTATTTCGTTTAAATTAGTATTATGAGCATCTGTAGCTTGGTATGACCCTTTTACTCTCAACTTTTCTAAATAAATTTTCGTACATGTTACAATTTCTTCAACAGTTGATAAGGGAAAAAATAATTTCCAAGCATCAACTATATTGTCAACATTTTTCGCTGAACCTTTAACCCCTGGAAGATGAATGACAATATTAGCTTTATCTGTTCTTACCCATTGACTTGGTGGATTGAACTCCCATTTAGTCACATTATCTTTTCCTATTAAATAATCGTTATTATTATTGTTATTTCCATCAGATGCTTCAATATCGTTATCAGACTGCTCAGTGTCTGTGCTACAATTCACTTGCTCATTTCTTTCAGTATCTGACTCTTCATGTACTTCAGTCTCCTTCGGCATCCAAATGTAAAAATTCTCTAATATCTTGGTCGATTTCCTCGTTTGGCTCTATTTTCATCGACGAAGGCAAATTATATGAACTCATAATAATCTACAAAGTAAAAAAAATTATTCACCATAATTAAATTAACTACATTTAAATCATATAATAAAAACAAGTTTTAAAATATTAAAAACATCAAAGCTCATTTTTATTTAGGTTATCTACAGATAAACAGTATAACCAATGTGACAGGTAATAATATTTATAATGGCAAAATATAATCACTTACTTAAATCACATCTGCGTTGCTCAAACTGATGATTATTATTAATTAATAAATATTTAATACTACTATTATCACGTAAATACGTTTAGCGTCACTTAACGTAACTGGGAGAATATAAGTTTAAAAGTAACGAAATATACCGAGTTCGACCGAACGGCTATACACTGACGAAGGCGCACGAACTGACCCGACCGTTACCGAAAGTACATTTTTTATTGTTACATCTGTATTCTCGTGATGAGATAAATGCTCACGATTTCTGGAGCGCAAGAGGAAAATATTTTTTTATTAATTATGTATAATACTAAAAAATTTAAAAAGTTCATAATACTGAAGTAGATGAACTTACTTGAAGGTAAGTGCTTCTCAGGCACGTCTGACAGCAGATCTGGGTGATTGTTGTTCCACTTTTGAATTGGGAATCCGCCTGCCTTGCAGAGGTTGATGCTTTGCGCCATCTGAGCCTTCATCAACAGTGTCGGCTGCTCCGACAATGTCATCAACGTAGCGACCTCGTGTGAGCGCTGGAGGAGCGAGTGGATACTTGCTACCATCATCACTAAGGAGCTGTTGGAATGCACGTAGGGCCAGGAAGGCTGCACACGCTAATCCGTAGGTGTTGGTGAGCTCGTAGGTGATCAACTGATTGCCGACATGCCAGAGGATGCGCTGAAACTTCTAATCGTCAGAGTGGTCCTTGATCTATCGACAAAACTTCTCAATATCCCCAGAGAAGACGTAACGATGGAGCCTGAAGAAGAGGAGAACGTGAAACAAGTCGATCTAGAGCTTCACTCCGGAGTGAAGAAGGTCATTGAGTGAGGTGCCATTGCTGGTAGCGCTCGGACCGTTGAAGACGACACGGAGCTTCGTGGTTAGGCTGCTTTCCTTCAGGACCCCGTGGTGCAGAAATTAGTAGTAGGCAACATCGGACTCTGGAAGGCTCGATGAGACTGGAACGAGGTGTTGTAAGTTTTCATACTCCCCCAGAAAGTCGGTGTATGACTGCTTGAAGGCGGGGTTCAATCGGAATTTCTTCGGCAGACAGTACAGCATCCGTAGGGCTTTGGACTTTGAGTCGCCGAGTTGACTCGGAGGTGATTTGAAAGGTAGTCGATCTATGTAGCGGCCGTCTTTGTCCCTTGAGTGTGTGGTGAGGAAATGGCTCTCACATTCCTCTTCGGCTTCGGTAAGCTTTGAGTTTGAGGTGTTAGGTACTTCATCTTGAGTCCAAAACCGTTGCAGGCTTGCATCTAAATCGAGGTCGATCTTAAGATGGAGCGTGCGCGACATGGCTGCCTCATTGGAACTGCCGGAGGGTCCGGGGACTATTCACCCGAACCTGGTGAGCTGAGCAGTGGGCGGTAGAGGACCGTCCTTGACAATGCCTTCTTCAATAATTTTGCCGTAGACGTCGGCGCCCAGAATTAAATCGATGGGGCTGGTGATGAAGTATTCAGAATCAGCAAGTTCTAACCCTTGAAGGTGTGGCCACGTCCTCATGGGTTGACTTGTCGTAGGCAGCGCGTTTGTCAACTTTGGGAGAATGTGTGCCCGGATCTTCATGGACCTGGAATAAGCTGTGAATAGTGCGATACCTCGTGTCCTGCTTGTTGGCTGGCCGCCTATGCCGATTATGTGTATTATGTAGTATTACTATACTCGTAATAATAAAATCAATGAGAAGTATGAAGCAAGGAACCGTCGAAGCCAAAGGGGATACGACTATTTAACTGTTAAGAAAATTACTCCAACTTATCCAAGAGGTAAGAGGTATTTAGTAAAACATATAATTTTCTTTTTTGTTAATTTGTGTTTACATTAATACAATAGTTGGAATCGGCATTTCGAAATAGAATTCAAACGGGGATTTTACACATCACTGGCAATTATTTGGATACGAAGGAATTTGGATACGCGCCTGTCAACCAGCTGTTTTAAAGAAATGCAGCAACGCCTTGATGAACCTACCGTCAATTAAATCCAACGTTAGCCTAACAGCGCTTTTCATCCAGTCGATCACAGAGGAGGAGAGAAGAGCATCTAATCTTTCCATCTAATGGAACAGATTTGTCACAAGTGAGTGGACTTTAAAGGCGCTTTGTAATTTAACTGTGTTTATTAATAAGTTTAATGAGACACGTAATATTATATTATACTATACTACAAGGCTGGCCAATGGATTTTCCTGGAGGGCAAAATCTTTTAGATTGCGGCGGCACCGGGCCACAGACTATGGCCATTCATACATAAAATATTATACAAATACAAAAGTTCCAACTTTGGTTTTTGCGGCGGGCAAATTCAAATGTCCTGGCAGCCATGCTATACTATATTATACTATACTATATAATATTATACTATATAATATTATACTATACTATATTATAGTATACTATACTATACTATATTATATTATACTACTAGCGACCCGCCCCGGCTTCGCACGGAAGTAAAAAACCGCTTCAAAATCCGTTGCGTAGTTTCAAAGATTTAAGCATACAAAGGGACAGGCAGAGAAGGCGACTTTCCTTCGCCAAACAAAAACATCAACCGGTCAACTTCAACCCACACGTACACACATACACACGTTATGCTTAGGGGGGAAGCTACGAAGCATCGCACAAAGAGGAGGCGGGGATAATAGAAAACTTTGTATTCACGACATCACATTAGAAACATAATAACAGACAAATAATTAGCAATAAATTAAAATTGCGACTATAATTTTAGATTAAAACTATCCTATCTCTCAAGTTGGATCGAACTGCACATGGTGTGCGAATTTTATTATAATCGGTTAAGTGGTTTAGGAGTTCATTGAGGACAAACATTGTGACACGAGATTTATATATATATACTAGCTTTAACCGGCGGCTTCGCTCGCGTTGAATCCATCAAATAAATATTAGAAATCATTATACATAGTTAAAACGGATTGATAGAAAGAATGTATATTTCACTGCTTGGCTAGGATTATCTATGTGAAAAAATTACTACATGCAATAAAGTTTTAAATTTTAGTTGGAATGCTAGATGGCGTTAAAGTAGTCAATTATTTTAAAAAATAATTATTTTTATTAAATAATAAGTAGCCTATAACCTATCGGGGACCACTAAGAATATGTGTACAAATTTTCATGATGATCTGTTAAGTAGTTTTTGCGTGAAAGCACGATAAACTTCAGGACATACGCATTTATAATATTAGTAAGGATTAAGAATATATTGATTTACCAACTTCAATCAAGAAGAGAAATGCTATTATCAATTATATATCTGCCGTTTTAAAATTAAACTAACAATACTCGTACTATAACAAACTCCGTCGGAAAATGCTTTAACGAAACACATAATTGATTGCGCGTAACTTGAACCTATGAGTAACGAGGAAGTTACTACCTCACATAATATTTCCAAGCATATTCCGTATAGTATTGCCTATAAGTTTGTTTGTCATCATGATATTAGTTTGAATAAATGTAATTTATACCGAGGTAAGAATCCTGAAATGTGATTCATAAATGAATTAGCTATTTTGAGCAAGGATGTAGGCTTACAATATCAATCAGCCAATTACATTGACAGCATATGCAGCAGTGTGCATATTGTAAATGCGAGTATTCTTCAAGTAATATTAAAATTAGGCATCACAATCACTTTACCGGTGAATATATCGCAATAATTTGAAATTCATGTAATTTAAAAGTTAAAAAACACAACATTTTACCAATTCTTTTTCATAATTTTAGTTGATATGACTGTCGTTTACTAATCGAGAAATTATCAAAATTTAATGATTAATGATTGCGAAATTAATGTTATTCCGCAGACTATCGAAAATTATATTTCTGTTTCAAAACGCTTTGGCGTTTTATACCAACGTCGCTGGCAAGCTTAGTTGAAAGTTTGAAAAGTCATAAGTTTGTACATACTAAGGCACATTTCCCAAATCTAAATCATCTGCAATTGCTATGTCGAAAAGGGGTATTCCCGTATGGGTTTGTTAAGAGTTTTGATTGTATAAATGAAACATCATTATCGCCAAAAGGATGGTTTTTTAGTTCATTGCGAGATGAAAGTATCTCCGAGGCTGAATATGAGCCTGCAAAGAATGTATGGCAGCAGTTCAATATTGAAGCACTGGGCGAGTACTCGGATCTATATCTAAAAACGAATGTCCTTTTTGCTAACAGATGTATTTGAACATTTTTCTCAAATTTTCGCTACCGTATCATCACCTAGATCCAACTGATTTCTTTATTGATCCTGGACTTTCTTGGGAGTCTGCTTTGAAAATTATTATCAAATACGGCCGGTGCAGAATTTTTTTAATTTTAAAAAAGTCGATTTTGGGAAGGATTTGAAAGGCAAAATTTAATACAAATTAACATAACATTTTTAATTATATCTAATTAATAAATACTATAATCATCTTCAATTGTAATAAATAACAGTTCAGTGTACAATATTTTTGATCAATCGGTCCTTTGTTAATACAAATAAACTTGATGATCTTTCTATTCGTGAACAGACCATGTATAATTTTCCATGAGAAAACCATGGATTTTTTTAAGTCTAAACCGCAAATAGACATTGTTTGATCTTGAGAATTATTTATTGCCCTTACTAAAGCTAAACGAATGTAATGGTATTGGAGAATATGATTGTATCACGGAAATACGTGGTAAGAAAACGATTTCTTCTTTAATCCTTTCTGTCAAAATAGTTGCTTCGAGAACGTTTTCGGAGATTCTGTTGATCACCAAACGTGTATAGTTACATAGTTTAGAGGGGTTGAAATTATTTTTAGTTCAATTTTCAGGGCCAGCTGAGTTACCGTTTTTATGTTTTCAACGCTTTTCATTGCATGTTAGGTATTATTGTGACGAATGGGTTTTGTGGTCTAGTTTATAGTTCCCGGTTGTATCTAAAGTAATTTAACAAATTTGATTTTTTATATGTTATTTGTTATAGTACGAGTATTGTTAGTTTAATTTTAAAACGGCAGACGTTTCCTCCATACAGCGTTTTCCAGATAGTTTTCCATATCGTGTCCAGTGAGAATGCATTCAACTCTCTTCGCCTGTCTATCAGAATGACTCCGCGATATTCTTTGGCTCACAATAGGTTGGTATCGATAATACTGGTACTCCTTACAATTATAATTGGATTGACTTTTTTTAGGTAGTAGAATTGGACGGCCTTAGTCATCAAGTGGTAAAACTCAAAATTTCACCAACGAAATAAGCGGAGCATAAGCTAAACTCAAAGACAAAATTACACGTGTAATCCTTGGAAATTATGACGAGCACTGGGCACGTGTCATCTTCTGCAAGGCATACCGAATAGCGATATATACATATAGTAGGCGCTATCAGTCGATAATTATGGACACCTACGCAAGTGAATGGTGTACCAAAGTATCACCGGATTCAAACTGCTCAAGTGATGAAAAGACTGCTGCTTTAGAACTTGCGTTTGTGGGTCTTGATTCGAGACTTTCCAGTGTTGGTATGTCATAATATATAGAAATAACTACTGGTATATTTGAAGTTTCAGATGCTTTTCCATATCTATACACACAGCACGTGCTTGGATATTAATGGCTTCTACTTCGCGTTTGGTGCGATGTTTAGTAAGAGTTGGTGTGTGTATTTTATTTTCACTGATGTGAAACTCAACAAGATGGAGATCAAAGACTACCAGCTTTTTATGGTAGTTCGAGTGTTGCCTGCTATTGATTTGATTATTATGACAACGTGGCCAATCTTGGATCCTTTCTATCTAGAAACTTAACAATTGGATCCTTATGTAAGCGTCTATCTCTATTATTTAATGCATAAATAATCTAAATATTTTTAGCCACATCCAGAACATTGTCATCATACCGGAAAACGAATATTGCTGAAGCAAAATATTCGTTTTAAAATGACTATTTTTGTGTGTTCGATTTATGCATACAAAGGTTTGCTCATGGCAATAATTTTTATAATACAGTGGAATCTCGGTAATCCGGCACACCTTATGTTTGTACTTTTGGATTTGTAATTTGTCGGATTACAAGGTATTTTTTTATAAAAAATTCCGGACTGTAAGGGGTCTTAGGAACTTTTCTATAATCCGACAAATTCGTCGATCCCACACTGCCCTACAAAGTGATTGTCGGATTACCGGGATTCCACTGTAGTTAAATTTTACTTATAATTCCCTTTTCTGCATTATACTACAGTTACCATGTTGGCATGAGTGTGTACTACGTAGCAATTATGTGCATTTGCGGCGCTGCCGTTGCAGTACTACTCGCTGACCACCAGTCAATGTTTTTGATTATTGCTGTATTTGTTTTGTTTTGCCCAACAGCAACTTTGTGATTAGTATTTATTCCCAAAATGGTCAATTAAAACGGAATCCGGCTGGATCCATTGATCATCGCTGTAGGACAACTTTACGCCCGATCAAAACCTAGAAGAGATTCTAGCGCCTCCGAAATGAAATCCAATATTACAGAAGTAAAAGCATACAACTCTAAATATAGTATACTGTATGTACCTACTGTCGGAGTGCGAAGGTAAACTATGAGCACTCATTCGACGATTGAGCAATAAAGCACGTGAATTACTTGATTGCACCAATGGGACTAGTGCTGTTACTGGGACAAGTAGTGTAGGAGGCGCTAGCGTGGGTGGCATAGGTGGTGACGGTAATCGTTTGTCTGTACCACTTCTTCGTAAGAATGCCCCATCCGCGACGGAAACCAGCATTTGCTCGCAAGAGCAGTTCCATTCACTGCAACGTGGAGAAAGTCAAAGCCGGCGTCGAATACAACCACAACCTATATCAAGCGCGCGCACCCCCGATTTACACAAAGCTCAAACCTTTGATGTTGAGCACCTTACATGGCATAGTGAGCTGCGACACGTGAGTACAAAAGGCGATTTCAAGCCGCGATGCTGTAGCCTAAAGAGCAATAAGCTTTTACTTGGTCTATGCTATCAAACATTTATTTCTTTTTCAACAGTTGCATGTCGTTCTCTATTAAAATCTATGTCGCGCAAACTCGATGCATTGTTAAATATGCTTACTGATAATCCACAAGCAACTACAACTCATGAAGCAAATGTATTACCGAATTTTTCGATATCCAGTTACGAAACTCTTGAGAAATTTAATCAGCTTTTAATTGACAAACAAGTAGCACTCACTCAATATGTAACTACTTTCTTCATCCTCAAGAGAATTGCACGAAAGAGCATGTTTGTTTTTTGCTTGAAAATTGCTTATTAATATCTAACTATAGAAATTTTGATATTATTATCGACCTGGTTCAGCATTGTAAAATGTTTCAGATGGACTGAATTAAACAAAGACATAACGGCAATGGAAAAAAATATTCGAAGCGTTGAAGCGATGAACCTCTGCATCTCTTGGAGTGGTTAAAAAAACTATAAAGGTCGAAAAAATGTCCTTCGTACAGCATTTGAAAAGTAAGTTAACGTGATCTTCACATTGAATAAATTTTATGAAGAAATATGAGGCTTTCATGAATCCAAATCGAGCAGCATGCACAGCTGTGTTTTCTTCTGCCGCTCCAAAGTTGGAATTAACAACTTCTCATACAGGCGCGAAAGGATCGGAGTAACACTAATGGGTCTAGTGTTACAAATTTTCGTTGAGTTTTTGTCTTTTTTCGGGTTTGACGACACTCTAGCAATCTTCCACGTCTCAGAATACAAAAAATGTTGGCCAAAGTTATAATTGCCCTCTCACGGAGCAGCTTAATTGCCTTTGGCGGAAGATTGTCTAAGCCTGGATCTTTTCCGGTGTTCTTAGATTTGATCGCCTGTTTAATTTCGTCTAACTAAAAGACAATCGCTTCGCTTGGCTGCGAATTTAGATCAACAGGGTCGCCAGACAATGGGGTCCCCGGTTGTTTATTAATAAATTGGTTCGTTATATAGAAATTCTGCCGCAATTCTACATCCTTAAACATTATATTTATATATATTTTACAAGATATATGAAAATATGATATTTTTCAAGTGTTACGAGTATTTATTAAAAACTACACCACTTTATAAATTAGTTGTTCATAATACAACTTTTTCATAGATAATATTTTGTGATTACTCACTTTTGGTGCTTTGAATAATGCTACTTTTTCTACATTCTCCCTTGCTTGCAGCTACTAAGCCAACCATGAACAGCACAACACCTTCCCATTTTTATCACAACAAATTTTAAATAAATAAATTAGTATTTTTTTATATTTAATTAAATTTAATTCAACACTCACCAGCAGGCACGTGTTTACGTGTAATATTAATAACATCGGTTTTTCATATTAGAATATTAGAGTGTTACAAGCATGAAATGTTTGCTAGCATAGTTCGTATAGAGTGGTCTGGTCGTTTATAAAATGCAAGAATTGAGTGTCGGTGAAAGTTAAAATTTTTTGTGTTTTCCTTTGAAAATATACCATTTCCAAATCAATTTATCAAAATTTGCCTAGAAGGTATACTTATTTATTTTCACTTAGCAACACAGTGGGATGCCTATATTATCGTGGAACCAATGCCAATACGGCAACGCGCAGTCGCTTCGAGCCCCCTTCTATTCGACTGAATGCCCGCGGTGCGGCTACGGGCTTGATTCCAGTTTTGGCGCGCCACGTCGGCAGTTTGGCGCTGTCTGTTGCATTTGATACATCGGTTTATTGTGTACGAATAAAGAAAGTAACGGCTGATGTGAAGTATTCTCAATAAATCAGTGTTCTCAGATAAATCACAATATAAATTGCCATGACCTAAACGAAGCCATGCATAACATAACCAAAAAGTGCAGCAACAGTATCACACCACGTTGTAACGAATTAATCCAGAATTAATTTAAATACAATACTAGTGAAACTAAAACTAAAAAAATGT